TTACGATGCGGTCGAGCTACTGAACACGCCCCGTCTCCTGGAAGCTCTGTACTGTGGTCATCTGTTTCACCCTTCCAGAATTCCTTCTACAGGGTTGATCACCATTAGCATTCATGAATCACACATGTCTACCTCAACGTCTATTCCGTTATAATAACTCCCTATCCATGTCTGTCTCATCCGCACTTAGGACTCTCCGCCGATCTCCGAACCACTCCTTCTCAAACCTGACGATAGGGTAAGTTGTTTCACGTTCACTTTTCAGCCCACACTCAGCCTCCTCCCCCATTTGGTACCATTGACTTATCATCCACGCTTTCTGTTCTTACTCTCACTAATAGCCCTTTAGCGTTAGCGAGGAGGTCTCAAAGACGTTGATTTGGCGCCAGTTAAGTGGTATCGGTCTGGTGGAACAGGGTGATGACGACTCCGAAGATGTCAAAAAGTAGGTATCTTTGTATTCTCACCCCAAATCCTGTTTACTCTTAATAATGCATTTACTGAATTAATTAAAGTAGGCGTTTGTGTTTACAAATTATTGTTCGTGAATACCGCAATTCCACATTCAAGTCGAGTTTTTCACACTAATTTTTTTTCTTTTTCATAGAACTGATCAAGAGTTTTAAATACCCCCTAAAATCTGTCTTTTCAACTGAACTAACAGCCGACTCTTTCAGAACGCTAGTTGCAATGGATATGCTTTTGATGCCCATTTTATTGATTCACATAAGAAGACAGTCCGAACTAACCTCTCAAAGGCATTTTTGCAACCTTGCTGGTTCCCTTAACCTAACTGAACGATTTCTTAAAATCTTAATTGCATATGGCGAGATTCTGCTTTGAAAATGAACCCGTAACTGAACCCATCAATGTAACAACTTCGTACTTTGGCGCCGGCGATCGCAAATCGCTTTAAAAGTGTACCCACTCGCATTCCCGGTTGAGCACCTGTTGTCTTCCTTGGTTTCACTTCATATGCCCCACACCCGAGATTGTCTTTCCTTCACCTCTTTTGACTTCGGTTAATTGCGCGACCTTGATTCTCGCACGTCGCGATTATGTTCACCTTCGCTTGGAGAAGACACGTGTCCGGCCGTTCGCGTGCATGCCTGTATTAAATGGTCCAGTTCACTCCGCGAGATCAAGGTACACTAACGCGAAGTAGGTTGGAATAGTTTGCGTTTTTACTCGCACACAAGTATCTACAAGCAAGCATATGCTAACGCTTTCGCTTCAAGCACACAGGCTACCGTCATTTCTGTAGTACTTTGAAATAGTCGCGCCTCCTCTTTTGCCCTCTGATTCCACTGCGCGTCGACGCGATTCGCTTTGTCTTTTCAGTCTAGCCGCCAAACCAGACTTCCTGAAAGGTTAGCAGAAAAGAATGCACATCAATTTCTCTGAAGGGCTTAAGTAGTGCTTTATTTTTTATTCCTTCCCTTTCTTCCTCTCCCAGAGGTCACAGGCGTCGGCGGAAGGGTAACCGTGATGCCACTGATGATGGTGGGGACAGTTCGCGAGAGCATGCCAGTCGAGCTAAGCGTCGACACTCACATGGAAATCGACTCCGTGTGCTGCGTCTCTTTAGCGCTGATGCCACTGCTGGTATTGGTACTGAAATACCCGTGCTCTATCGAAATACTACCGATTCGGACATCGCTCAGACGGCAACCGATGATGGTGGCAGCATCAGTGGTGGCGGACGTAAGTTTAATGCTGGCTGCACCCAATCCAATAACAGCGCCCTCGCCGCCGATCATCTCACCCCTCCCGTGATCCAGATCAACCCGCCCTCAAGCCAGTGCTCACCCAACTCCAGTCGCCGGAACTCTAGGCTATAACTTGGCGCCCTTTTCATGCGTGCGCCGCGCGGTAGCGCATCTATCTGCTCTCCTCTCCCGATGTTGTTCTCTCGTTTCACAGTGTAGCTCCCGTCCCGACCTGTCCCCTCTCCCCCCATCGTTGCGCAAAGTATTTTTCTACACCCGCCGATTCGGTTGAAGTGTGTCACTGTGTGCACAACTCTGCCAACCATCATCGATTTCACCCACCCACCTCCCCACGAGCCCGCCCCCCCCCGTCACCTCGCCCCTCCAACTCTGTTTCGCGGATGCGTACCTAGCTATGCACTTAGTCTTGCCAGTCGTCCGTGTTTGCGCCGCCCTTTACACTGCTCAAGATTTGCATGCTTTTACTCCCTTTTCTCCTGCTGAAAAACTGACTGACAAAACCACTACTATTAATATATCAGTAGGAAAATTATTAGCGTATGCGCACTTTGTGCGCAGGCATTCCACGTACTGACGCACACACACACGCACACCCACTACAAATGCGTCTGCTTCCGCCCTCCAACCAGCATGTCCGCATTGACACCCCCCTCAACTTATACCAATCTAAAAATAACCGGCATTCAATACCACACGAGTTGTTGCGGCTGTTATTTATTAGGTTTCATGTAGTTATTATTAGTCGGCTTTCATTCCATACCACTTGTGAGAACCGAATAAATGTCAATGCGACCTCTTATTTCCTCGTTATGCATCCTATAGCTCACCATCTGCACCGCCCATTCTCCCCGAGTTTTGGAGATGGGGGAGAGAGAGCGTTCTTAATGGTTTTCCGGTCTTTGCTGTAGTCAGACCGTTGTGTAGGTTGTGGCGATGACTCTACTAACTAGTTGATGACCCCTCTAATCTCCTGTGAGTGGTTGCTGGGAGAACTGATTAATTCATGGGTACCAGATTGCCTCCCAATGGTGTCCGGACGACAGGAACTCTAGGGTAGGGGCGGTACATGCCTGCTGGCCTAACTGGGAGCTGATCAGTGTTCATGTAATTTGCGAATGGGGCAACGGCCCACAAAAAGGCCTAGCTACAAAGTAAGCCGGTATGGGCATCCTAGTACTAATCAGTCATGGATCATGGGGCGGCAATACCGTAAGCGTGATCAGTGGATCGGTCATCTGCAGAAGAGTTATGAGCCATGGCGTTATTACGTCACGGCGACTGCTGCCCAACACTGACTGGGGTGTCCGAGCGGGGGATATGCTAACGGGCTTTATGGCGTCACCTTTCTCAACATTGAGGAACGACAGGAAACTGTTATGGCAGTTAAAGCAGTCAGCAGGTCCTGACCAAACAAGTCGACTTCGGTGGGTGTTGTCTCAGCCGAGGGGTAGCAGACATGGACGGTCGTGACTGTCTGAATACACGCATGTGCACGTGTTGCAGTCGGCCAGACCTTGGCAAGGTCAGTGTGTGCATTTTCGCCTGTTCTGCTTGCGAGGAGGAAATGGACTGGTACATTGTACCACACAGTGCCCTGCTTGACACGACGCCAGGACGTCAAAGTTCGTAAGGCAGTCCGAAGCAAATGCCTGGCTGGCATTATGCTGCGACCCGACTGGTGCGGGGGAAACATTTGACATAGAAACGCCTACTTAAATAAATGTAGTAGCGAGGCCTGTGTAGTTTAGATACTCCGGCTACATGTCATCCTTGTCATGGACGTTTCTTTCATGGGCCGCTCGACTGACAGAAATGGTGAAGTTGCAGGAAATTTTGTCTTATTCATGCTCGACGGTCCATTGGAGCAGATTTTCTTGGCATATACTGCGCTCTCTCCTCCTTCACGCATGTGGGCCTCGTAGCAAGACAGTGGACGACTAGAGGCGGCCCAGGCTGTAGGGACTCAAATGCGGACATTAAATACTAACCGAACCTCTGTTTTTGTTTCGAAAAGATTACTAAAGTAGGGTTATAGCACTAATTATCGTGCAGCATAGTCCCAAGGTAGTCCAGTCACATCAGGATGCCGTCTTTCGACCAAACATCTTTTTCGGTCACCTGCAAAAACGACACGGTAAAAGTGGCCGCTTGAGTAATATGAGTTTTCTCTATTGATTTCCAGTGCTCTCAAGAATCCAAATATATTTTATGGGATACCGACGCAAAAATATTCCTTCTTGCATTCAGGGTTTGCAAGCTACAAGCTATGTGTTTTACTTGTAAGGAAGATAATATTTTTGAATGCGCTTCTACGGAGACGCCATGTACGGCTCATGGAATTTTGCAATGAATGTAGACCAGGCTTGTTAGGACGGCCCAGAACATGACACGTCATTCCTGTGTTCCGACGGTCACTGCAAACCTGTAGATCAGTCTCGTCAAGCATGCCCGCGTGTGAGCGCGCTGCCGAGCTATGCGCGATCATCAGGAGTCAACAACCTGTGATTAGTGAGTAGACGTTTATGATTACTCATCTTCGACTAACAGAATGCTGCTACTTTCCTATCGCATGCAACTGTGCAAACAATACATTTTTCAAATTTCCACTTATCCGTGCTTTTTCTTAGGCATTTTGTAACCAATGAGGATTCCGAAGGCGCTCGCCTATCTTCTTCTTTGTAAAACTGAATCAGAATAAACCCATTATTGACTTCCCGCTGCTTTACGACCATGCAGGAAGGAGGTCGAATTTCTAGAGTGGGGTAAAACAGAGTTGCCAGTACTTCGTACCACGATAAGAATAAACCGGTGGTCAGTACTTCCACGTGATTTTCGCTATCGCCCACCACGTAGCTGGCTGATGAGAACTCGCAAGCCGAAGATGATCATTCTGACCTTACTTCCCTTTGGCGATAGCACTGCTAATAAAGTATAGGGAAGGCTTTGCGTGGCATTGATAGCTCCGGAACCTACAAAACCCGTCCAAACATTGCGCTGGTGCCACTCTGAGGTCTCGGCCCGACCTCCGGAAAAGTTAACTAACTTCTACCGCGGAAGCTACAATTCCCGGCGATGATGTCAGCGCAGAACGGTGTTTTGGAGGAGAAAACGCAGTGCAGTATGCTAAGGCGCAAACTGTAGACTTTCAGTGGGATACTTTTAAGTAGCATAGCTTTTCATCAGTATAACGAGTCGCTGCCTCTCCGTTGCGACGTGCTGAAAACGGAAACAGAGGGGACGGGGGAGAGAGAAGGGTTGGAACGAACAGATTCACTTTCGCAAAACCGCATTGAATATTTCCTCCAGATGCTGTCCGTCCGCCTTCAGAATCTTTTCGATCAGCAGCTGACGTTTCTCCAGAGAGGACCTAGAAACCCAACCGCGACGGTAGTCGAGGCAGAGCCCTTCCTCCGTTAGCGGCTGGTCCGCAGTGCGTATCAGTCGCTCTCTAGCCCACTGTGGAATGCAAGTGCTGACGGAGACGACGGGAACTGGACGAAGGCAGCTTTCGGTCTGGGCCGGTCCGAGCCTTCCCACCACCTCCTCGGGCTGCTGTGCGTAGCTGGGGACGGGTCTGTGGAGGTGTCGGGCGGCGACTAGACTGTTGTTGGTATTAATGTCCGGCAAGGCATCCTTTGAGGGTCGCCGAGGCTGGGGCACCCTCTGCAAGCTGCGCTGGTCACTGCCGTTGTAACTCAGAGTTGGTGAGCTATAGCCCTCCGACAGGGCAGAGCAGCTCTGTCCAACAGAGGCATTGTGTTGTCCACTGCCTCCAAAAGGCATCTGCAAGTCCGCTCTAGAGGAGCTCCCCGAGGCCGGGGAAGAGGCCGGAGCGGAGGAAGAGGTCTGTGTGAAAATTAGGTGGCCCGATTTGCGAGTAGTTTGCGGCAAAAAGTTTAGCGTGGTCTGGCTAGTCATGGACTCCACCGCCACCCGCATAGGATTGCTTTGGTTGGCAAACTCCGAGTTGTTGGAATTGGAGACTGAGGCTCGATCGTCCGCTTCCGTGGCCTCTGGTCCGGCCCCAGCTTCATCCGCATTTCCGGGATCTTCAGACGGCGGCGGCGGCGGTTGTGTGATCTCTTGTGGAGGCGGAGGCAAGGACTCTACAACTGGTTCTTCTACTGGTGGAATCTCCACGACGGACTCAGCGACCTCCGCAGCGGTGTAGTCCGGAGGTGCCTCAGTCGGGATCTCATTTGTCTGGATGACATTCTCCAGCTCTGAGATGGGTGATTCGGATGGTGTCGGGGGTTGCACTCTAGTCACTGGGAGGGCGGGGTTTACCTCCTCCTCCTCCTCTGGGATTTCAGCCTCCTCAATGGTCATCTGACCGGCTTGGATGGTCGACTGACTTATACGGACACCAGTCACCCCGGGCGCGACAGAGTCTGAACCAATGAGCAGCTGGTTGACTGATTCGGACATTGGTGGTGCCAAGGTGGCGGATTTGCTTTCTCCCGGAATGCGCTCGGACGGGCTCAGCGACACCTGCTCCGCGCCGCCCGTGGAGGTACTGCGATGACGCATGTAGGAACTCATTTCCTCGTGCAGGTAGTCCGGCGAGCAGTTGGTCGAGCCCTGTCCCTGATCTGGGCCGGACTGTGCCTCTGTGGTCACCTCATCGCTGAATGAATCCACCACCTCGTAGATGCCCTCCGCTCCGGTAAACGTATGGAACTTGGCGATTTTGGGAAAGCCGGCGTCCACCTTTGTTGCCAGGCCGGCTAGACGGTCGTTCTGTGTGTCCAGGGAATCACCGTACTTTCGCTGTTCTTGAATGCATCGAAGGAGCTGCTTGCTGACCTTCTCTTGGGCGTGGACATGCATGCGGTAGTAGTTCTCGATGATTTTGTCCTGAATCATTTTCTCCTGCACCAGGTCCAGGCACTCTTCCAGTCTCCGCAACAGGACGGTCAGTTCACCCTGAATGCTCCTCAAGCGTTCGCCGATGCTCTCGTTTTTGCCTTTGAGCGGCTCTTTGGGCCAACCGCGGATTCGTTTTCCCAGACTCACAGGGTTGGTCACAAATGGCATGGAGTAATTCGCCACGAGACACATGGTTACCTGAAATGGAACAGAGACAGTTGCCAAGACATCGTCTGAAAAACTTAACCGTGTGCTCAAATGATTAAACGGGTTCGCAGGGGTCATAGTCAGGAGTTAATTCCTTTACGCTCACGGGTTGAAACTCGGCAGAAATTTTTTCTCCAAATTACTTAAGCAGTCTCGTTTTGCCGTCCATTTTCGAACTTCGCGTAGGTGCCCGCAGATATACGCAAGAATTTTTGCTTGTAAGTTCAGTCTCGTAATAGATCGCGTCCTCGTTTTCTTAAAAGTGGCATTCGGTTTCGCCCTGCGTACCGTTTGGAATCAGTCCGGGGACATCGGGTGCGCACGGCCAGGGCGCGTGCTTATGGCGTGCGCCGTCTCGCCATTGGCTGAGACCACAGCGCCCCCCTAGAACCTGATTGGTCTATATCTGCGAGCGCTTGCTCGGCTTCTCTAGTATTTCCCTCTTGAAGCGGATTGGACAGAATGTTAGCCGGCCTAAACAGGACGCCATAAGCAAATGGTGTTTTTCGGTGAGAGTGGCTTGCTGGTTTCGACGCCGTCTCACGTGACCCACTGTGTTTCATCCCCTGAACACGCATGAGGTTCGCGTTGTGACTCAGTGCCAGGCCGGGTCGTAATACTTGAATAGATCTGTATCATGTTATATGCTTTGAAGGCAGCATCGCTAAATGTGTATATATGAAGCAGCTGGAATAATAGTGTGCTTTCAGTGAAGTCACAATTGCAACCCTGATGAAAATGAAGAATCCTTTTAGCGCAAGTAAAGCTTTCTAGGACTAGGCAATGCGCTACAAAGTGAGTTTAAGGAAAAAGGGCTGTGCACCCTTTCTGTGAAATCCGGATTCAGTTGTGGAATTTTCGGAGGTCTTGGACGAAAACGTACACCGGCTAGGCAGTGATTTTATCGAGCACGATTTGCAGAGATGGTCGGACGCAAAGATACGGCAGATATGCTGTCATATGAAGTGTTGACTGAAATTCTGAAATGTGCATTCAATTTCAAAAAATAACTTTAGTAGGGTTTTAATGTTAATTACCATGTCGCATAATGTTAAGTTATTCCATTCACGCCAAGATGTCGGCTTATGAATGAGCTTTTTACCAACCGCTTGCATAAATGCTATTCTTATTTTACTCGTTTTTCGGCAAATCAAATCTCAAAATGTCACGCTTGAAGAAAGAGTATCTTTCGGCTTCAAAATCTTTCCCGAATAATTTTGAACTCGACCTGGTGTCACACTTGTATTCAGATTTTACAAACTAACTAATAGGAGTTCGTTCGAAAGCCGGCATCCTGAGGTGACTGAATTATTATAGAATTATGCTGCACGATGACCAGTTCTTTCAACCCTACATAATTGATCTTTTCGAAACGAAAATGCATTTCGGAATTTCGCTTGACATTTCATGAGTTAGCACACCTACTCTATTTCTACAAATTTATCTTACTTATTTAGAATGAGTTTCCGCGTTTCAGCACTTTCACTTGAGAAAATTTTTACTTCCGCCGCATATAGTGCTACTTTTAATACTTTTCTCGTGTTTTCACCCAGCTGAAGGTAGTTTATTGTTCACTGGGCTGGTTTCTGACTGGTACACCTTCTACACCTACATGCCAGAAAGTGATGACGACAATTGTGCCAGTAGTTTGATGCAGGTCTGTTTCGGGCATATTTTGCCATAATTAATCATATCTCTAACCACCATCTGGAGCCAAAACATAAACATGAGTTCTTACAGGGCGCAGGTGGTTCACAAATGGGACCTATAAGACGTGTTCGCCTTCCTGCTCCAAATGTTCCGCATCCTGCTCCAGTCAGATTCTTCTGACCTGCATGTGGTGGAAACTTTCAGACTTAACTACACCAAAAAAACTTCTCGTCGGATCTGGTCAGCTCATGTCTTGGAGCTCGGTTCTGAGTCATTGCGGAGCAACCAAATGTCTAAATGTATTATCGACCACAAACCAGACAAGCTTAGGGTTCTAATCAGCCTGCCCCCTTCTGAATGATGATGATGATGATGATGATGATGATGATGATGATGATGATGATGATGATGATGAGTGGTCGATCTCATGAAATATTGGCGGAAATTCTGGAAGGCGTTTTCAATTAGGAAGGCATACTTAGGTGGGGTTGTAATATTGACTATCATGCGGCATAGTCCTACAGTATTTCAGACTTGCCCGGGTGTCAGCTTTATAACGCACTTCTTTTAGATCACCTACAGAAACTGCATTCGTTAAAAATGACTACTTATGTAGCATACATTCCTCACATTGATTTCCAATGGTCTGATAAATCCAAATATATTTTACAGAAAACATTTAAAAAATATGCTTTCTTTTACTCGTTTGGTAGAGAATCATATTGTCTTCACATTTTGTACCCGAAGAAGGGATATGTTTAGGTTTCACACAGTTTCTAATTATGGGATTTTTTAAGACCGTGCAATGTCCACTCGTACAGAACCGTACCTGTCCGTTTGCCATGCTTCTCATGAAATGTATAACATACTCCGTATCTATTGTAAAATTTTATGAAGTCTATATGATATATTCTTAAAGGCATAGAGGAATATATGATTTTCCCGACGCTAAAAGTGTACACCTTATAGACAGAAGTCGCTAGAGGATAATGCAACGGCTGACCAGACTCTAAATTATTCGGGAATTGGGAAACATTTTAATCACCTAAATATACACTTTTTCGGGTATAAAATGCGAAGGCAATGTGATTTTCCACCAAATAAGCAAAAGAAAGAATATATTTGTTCATGTTTTCTATAAAATATATTTGAATTTATATGACCATCGAAAATCAATGTGAAAAATGTAAGCTGCATAAGTAGTCATTTTTTTTACCGAGTGTGGTTTCTGCAGATCGAGAAAAGTTCATTCAAAAGCCGACGTCCTGAAAAGTCCGAAATACCGTAGGATTATTCTGCATGATAATCAAGATTACAACCTCACCTAAGTAATCCTTCCTAATCGAACGCGCACTTCAGCATTTCGGCCAACATTTCGCGAGATCGGTCACTCACTGTAAGCCATTAGTGGACGGTTTTTTCAAATAGTACTTCGCGATTACAAATAGCCTGTTCCAGACCCGAGACCCGATACAAGATGGAACTGTTATTCCTCAGGGTCAGACAGCAGGGATAACCGAGAACAGATCGCTTCTGCTATCCCAGTCAGCAGTTACCCCAATAGCAAGCGAGCTCGCCGCGAGCTAGCGTACTCGATGGGGGTAATGAGTCTTCACCGAGCTCGTGATTTGATTGGTTGTTGGGTCAGCTGCGGCGACGTCGCGGAGGGCGCAAACGGCCGTGTATAATTGCACTTGCTTATCGATTAGCTTCGGCGCCCGATAGTTCTCACGCTCCACCCGGCGCAACTTTTTGCCCTCTCACGCTGCAATGCTCATGCCGTGCCTGCTTCAACGCTCTCATTGCCTACCTGACTCGTCTTTGCCTTTGTTTTTTTATTTTGTTGCCTTTTAGTGGCAATTATATTGCATTCTGTTAGCGGACGTAATCGCCGGCACACAGGGAAACAGAAAAAGTTATACGAAGAATCAGCGAAGAGATGCTCACCTGAAAATGCATTTGCAGAAAGAAGAAACCGCGATAGAACTCAACCACTGGAAGCAGGGGTTGTCCACTTGGCGTGCACGCCAACGAAAGGTCCACTTCCGGGGGCACACGGATTCGATCGACGTTGATATCCCCAGCATGCGGTTCTAGACCTCCGTGAAGCGCAGTTTCTATGCCTGCTGAGATAGGCACAAGAGATGGCGGGCCGTCGCACTGAACAACGACGCCTTTTTTTCTTTTGACTTTGTGGCTGGGAATAGACGTCCCCAAGAGGACCCTTGTGGCCCTCGCGGCCTGCAAGACATTCGAAGGGGGGTTAGTCGTGTAGGTCTTTTTTAGGTGGTGTCGCAGGACCCTATTTCTTATGGCCTTCGCCTCCACTTTTCTCTCGACTTCTTCCAATTCTGCACGCAACTGTTTTATGCTCTCAAGGCCCACAGTCAAGTTATATACGGCTAGACCGCGCGAAAATCCCCGTTGACAGGCTAGTAGTTGACGCCTGTACTCTTCCACGGAGTTGAAAGCCGCGATAAAGGCATCCTTGATCTGTAGCACTAACCGAAGGCTTCCACGAATCTCTCGAGGGTAGTCCACAAGCGGCACAAAGGGCTTCACGTCCATAGCCGCCATGCGCAGCAATTCGCTGTTCTGTTTTTTTCCAAGAGAGTGATAATTCCTTACAGCCTCTTAATTTGGCGGCATTGCCGCATCGAGAGGAAAGTATAGTTGGCTACTGCCGTCGTCCCCCGGCGTTTGCGCGCTTTCAAAATGGCCAATCAGGACCGTGCAAAAATCGATAGTTCTGACAGCACGTGGTCAAGCCTGCTGCCCCATTGTGAATGCCTTTTATTGACTGCTTCTGCCGTAGATGCGAAGGGTTTTGCGGCCTCAAGGTATGTCCCCCCGGCCGCAAACAGTATCTGCGTGTCGGGAGTTGGGCAGACTTGTAGCCGAAGCTGACGAAAACGGGTCACTTAAAAATACCTGATCTTTTCTGGGCAAGGCATGGTTATGCAGCCGCACCTGACGGACACAATACTGTTGGGGTTAGGGTTAGTGGTTAGGGCAACTATTTCTCAACCACTCCAAGCACAACCGCGCATTCCCAATAGTTTTTCTTTTGCATAGCTCAACCTTGTCGCCTGTGTGTCCCTTGGTCCCTCCTGTAAAAACCCCTATTACCACCGGCCCCGTATTACAGGTGGTTGGGGTTTGTTTACCTGAGGTGGTGCTACGTAACCACATCTGACCAAAATCTTCAAGTCAGTTATGTCTTGGAGACAGCTATGGGAGACTAATGCTCTTATGCTTTTTGGAATAAGAAGAAAATGAAGAATGACGAGCAGGACGCTGGATTTTTCCTAGTATTTGGGCGTCTACAAGAGTTGCACAACAAAGAGAGCAAACCATCTGAAGGAAGTAGTATTTGAAGCCTCTTCTGGCCAACTAGTTATTGTTATCTCCTACGTGCGATCTCGGGATTTCATGTGCACTTGGTTTTTCAGTGTTCTGACTGATCTCCTTGGGATCAGAGTTTTTGGTTGTTGTTTGAGTTCGGCGACCCTGAAAAGTTAATATTGTGACTTGTCAATAGCGTACGGAGGCATCAGGAGACCAGTATGCATCCCTCCTCAAAGCCAGTGAGTGTTTATGTTATCATGAATGCAGATTCCCTCCAGTTCTATCTGCACCACTGGGCAGGTAGTTAAGGCTATATCATCATCATCATCATCATCATCATCATCATCATCATCATCATCATCATCATCATCATCATCATCATCATCATCATCATCATCATCATCATCATCATCATCATCATCATCATCATCATCATCATCATCATCATCATCATCATCATCATCATCA